CTAAAATTTTTCTAACAATAGATAAGAAAAATAAATAAATAAATAAATTTATTTCTAAGAATTTACAGCATTTAAAATTTCTAATATTATAATTTTATTAAAAAGAGTATTTTTCAAAATAATGAGGCCACTTGAGCATAAATTTTATCGCACCTAAAATTCATGATAATAAGAAGAAATAATTATTTTATTTTATTTTTAAAAAAATGGATTACTTTTCAAGATAATGAAGTCACTTACCTAAAATATTTGAGAGGGAGCTTCCGATAAAAATTCGGCTAAAGAGAAAAAGAGCTCACTGTATTTCGACTAAAGAAAGAGATCTCAAAACTTTCTAAGGTGAAAATCCTCACCTCTCCGAATTTAAATTCTTAAAACATATTTTTATATTATTTTATTAGGCTCCACCTCACCTCATACCTGAGGTGTTACCTTAATATTACGCGAGAGACGATTGAGGCCCACGTCAACTAAGGAGGAGGAGGTAAGAGAAAGGAAAAAGCTTACAGCTTTTGAAGATAGTGATGGGCCATCATGCTCATATAAGTCATCACTTATTAAAAGTTTATTTTCTTTTCTTTATTTTTTTATTTTTTATTTTTTATTTTTTTAAATTTTAGGATTATTAGAGACAGACATCAAGCATCCAAGTTCCATTGGATCATATAAGAGTCCAAGATTTTATATACTCGACACCAGGGCGTTGAGAATTCAAAATACATTCCCTCGTTTGTGTCATTATCCAAAAAGCACAAACATGTCAAATCATCTTTAATCCCATACATATGAGGTTAACTATTTCACTTCAATTCTTCAAATTCACCAATTTTCAGAAATGTTAGGTGTCCTACCCTAGCTATATTTCTCTTCAGAATTTTTTTCATTTTCATCGATTTCAATTTTGCAATAGCATTTCCATTATAAATCACATCTTTGACGCAACACAAACTCGATGAATAATCAAACTGTAATCCATACATACAAAAATGGTGTAATTCAAAAAAATTTATAGAAAATATATTATTAAAAAGAGAAAATCATACCATATGGAAAAAGTAGGCATAATCCATCTTTCCTTTTCTTCTTTTACTTTTCAATCTAAGGAAAGGACTAAGGAAAATCATATAATAGATCCACATAATAGCAACATAAGAAAACCCAATTTCACCAACACAAATCTTCACTAATTAAGCAAACAGGAATTTCATAAAATTGAAATAATTGATAAATTGATCAACTGCAGCTAAAAGAGACCAATATAGTATAAAAACAGTGTATGAAGAGATTCACACCCAAATTCGGCCCCTCTTTGAAATAGCTCTGAGCCTCCATTGAACATGAAAAATGGAGTTCTCCAAAGCTTGCAGGAGCACCTCCACTTTATCATTATCCATTGACCAATCCAATAAATAAACAAAATACAAAGTGGGTCAATGGATTACTGAAAAAAACAAATAGCTCTTGATTTTTTCCCTTTTGGAATTATTATTGCAGTAAAACTAGGAGGTTAAAAGTATTCTACAAAAATACTGCTTCCATGGGGGGACAAAAAAAACAAAAAAAGAAAAAAGGCCAAAATCTAAAAGGAAAAACCAGGAAAAATATAACAGAAAAAACCCATACCCAATTTTTTTTACAAATTAAAATAGAGCTTATGTACCCAACAAAAAAATAAAAAAAAGAAGCAGCAAAATTAAGAGAAAAAAACTTCATAAAATACAAGAACAAATGGGGAGGGGGGGACATAGCAAATGGAACTTCTATACCCAACAAAAATAGAAAATCTATATCCTTTGTTTTTTTCCAGAGAATGGAATTTTGTTATGCATTTATCACGAAGAATCGTTATGCTATGGTTATAGTGCCGGTTACATTGACCCCAAGTAAGGAAACCCCCATATCAAATTTAAAAGATATTTTTAGTTTTTGCCATTAGATGCTGACAAATAGAGCACACAGTTAGGAGAAATTTGTTTTTGCCATTAGATGCAGAGCAAATAGAGCACACCATCACTCTCATGGAGTCATCAACAGCCTCATATACAATAATTTATTTCCAACTAGAAAAATAAATGTTTTAGCACGATTTAAATGAACCCCAAGAATTAGCTGCTAATTTGCATATGCCTTCAAAAACTTCCTTTTTTATCGGTTACGATGAGTATTATCCAAACTTGGTGAGAAAAATGCCTTTCAATTGAGCTGGTGGGAAAAATGCCTTTCAATTGAGCTATTGGGTTAAAGCCTTAAACCATTAGCCCTTTTCTATATTATAATTTTACAAAAACAATTAAAATTAAATAAAATTGAATTAAAATTAAAATAGATCTTTATAGAAAGAGGATGTAGACAGGATTTCAAAAAAATTTATATAAACTTAAAAAAATAAAAAGAATATAT